AAACCACTTCTATTCAACGAAAGGAGACTGCGACCACACAAAAGGCCACACCATCTTGGTCTTTATACCTACAATATATCATAGTTATCCATCAATGTGATCTTAGGAGGCGGATCAAAACAGGAAGACTAGTTTTAATCGTAACAAACAACATGTAAACAAATTAGTATGAGGTATGACAAGGATGATACTTAAATATATTACTGCTGAGCTGACTTCCACTTAATGTGAAAACGTGTCGATCTCACCAGAAGACTACAGCGAATTCCCCTTAATCTCCGGTTTGATTTTCTCGCAATCATCGTGATGATAGTATTCGAGACGCTCTCCATGGAGTGTAGTAGAAGTGTGCTGAGCTCTCGTTAGTCATATGACTCTAGAATATGCAAGAATGAACTTTGAGAGAAAACGAAATAGGAAACGAAGGGGAATCTGCCCTCGTCTTCTGATGAGATCGACCTACGAATCTCTTCATCACACACTTCACATGAAATGAGTCAGCTCAACTATAATATATAAGAAGATTAATCGAAAGCCAATTATTCATCTAAATACATGCTCCATTATGCTCCATACAATATGAAGCATAGAGCATATCATAAGATTAATTCCCATTACTAACCTTGAAAGCATGCTTTTTCCTTGATTTTCCTTTGGCAGTTTTCAAACCAATGTGAGGAAATGGCATTGGTAGACGGCCTGAGTTAGCTGGTTGTTTTGCCAACTCACGTTCCATGCACGCAAAGTAGGCGGGCATTGTAAGATCAGACAACTTTGAAGCGGACTTATGACATGTGTAAGTTAACGTAGCCCCAGGTGCCTTTAAATCGGACTTAGATACAGCAATTAAATCACTGACGCCAGAGGACTCTTTGTGTGATTGGAGATGAGACAATTCAACATCTGCATTCGAGTTTTCGCCAACAGATTGAAGGTCAGATGATTTCTAAATCAAACGTATAGACAAAATTGTGGGCGATAGGACACTTGTTAAAAATCAAGCGAATTAAGATAGGGATAAACTACATAACACAACTTTTAAAGGAAGTAAAGTCAAGTTCAAACATTATGAGGACTTTAAAAGAACCTAAGGACTATGAAATTTATTCAAGGGCTTAATAATAATAATAATAAATATAAGAATGGGCGGAATCGTTCCGATGGTTTCAATCTAAGTAGGTCCAATCTGACTACCTGAGTGTGCTAGGGATATGAAGGTACTTGTTATTTTTCAAAATTATGTAATTTTCATCATGAATCTCGCCTACTTTCATGATGTTCGGAGTTTCAAAGAGAAATAGAGAGATGGTAACATGCTTTTACAGAGTAGAATCGGAATGCATGCTGCGTAAATTATGAAATTTAAAATACTTGATGTAGGAGTAGAAGTCTGGATTAAGAATAAATGCAA